TTTCATGGACACCTACTCAAAATTTCGGCTTTATGATCGTCAAATTACCGCTTTTTCTGCCCTGAAAACTCCCACAAATATGGGAAAAAACTCCAACAGTATACCCTTTTCCGACGCTGCGCCTTTAAAGAAAATGGAAGATTTTTTTTTCGAAACCTAGGATTTCAAAATAAGTGACGTAATCCATTCCAATACTTCCGCCTCAAGGTATTTTTAAAGATCTTCTTTTCTCCAAAAAGTTGTCCTCATGAACACCTATTTATCGAGAGCTCTGACGTCTTTCAACCATGGGGGGCTCCCCTCTTCTCTCTCTCTCTCTCTCTCTCTCTCTCTCTCTCTCTCTCTCTCTTCCCGTGAATCGTTGCGTGCCCTTCAGATGTTCAAGTCTCAAAGATGAGTCTTTGGAATGTTTTTCTTCTTTTTTTTCATGCCCATCGGCTGTTTTTTTTTGTTTTCCAATGGTCTCTTTGCTCCGTCCGTCGGTATTTTTGAAAGTATTCCGACGAAAAGTGAAAAAAAATCATAAAAGTATTTGAAAAGAAGTGCGTCATGAGCCTATGAGTACTCCTCCAAATAGGCTCCGCCCCTTTTGTCCTCCAAAAGAATCTTTGTCCTCCCGAGAGGACCAACCCATTGTTTCTTCTTCTTTTACTACTTTTTCGACGAAAAATCAAAAGATCTTTTTTTTTTTTGAAGAAAATACTTTTCGGTTTTTTGTCAAGGGGATTCCCATGTCATTTTTATCTTTTCTTAGGAAAAGCAAGAGAGAGAGAGAGAGAGAGAGAGAGAGAGAGAGAGAGAGGGGGGGGGAGAGAAAGAGGAGAGGTCACCTTGAAATCTAACCTGAACCTTTTTTTTCGTTTTTTCGGAAAAAATCTATTTTTGTTTTCAAAGAATTCCGGGATAAAGAGAACGAAGTTCAGATAATCCTACACTCGAGGAAAAGAAGATTCCATCGGATAAATCTATAGTTTTGGCATTATTAAAGTGTTTTTTGGATGGATTTACAAGTATAGTTTGAGGAGATTTTTTTCCAAAAGCAGAAATCGAAAAAAATCGATTTTTGGTTTTTTTTGGATTTTTATACTTGGAAAATTTCGGCCCGGCCCGTTCCAAGTATGTGAGTTTTAGGAATCATTGGACCCTAGAATTTGGGAAAAATGCTGAAAATCGGAAGTTAATGAAGTTAATCATTTCGAAACCGTCGCAAGTTAAGGTTGAATTTTCAACTGCTTTGAATCGATTTTCTGGAAATTAGAATTAAAAAAAATTTCAAACTTTTTTTTCGTATAAATTTTCTTTTTCAAAAAAATGTCTGAAATTTTATTTTGTTCTAATTTTCCAGAAATTCGATTGAAATCGA